ATTGTGCATTCCGCTTGGGCCAGGCCCTGTGAGCTAAATCTTTCCTATATAATAGATTAGGGGTTGGCAAATTATGGTCCATGGGCCAAATCTGGCCCACTGCCTGCTTGTATAAATAAAGTTTTATTGGAACACAAACACACTCATTAGCTTACATACTGTCCGGCCGCTTTCACGCTCCAATGGCAGACTTGAATAGTTGTGACCAACACTGTAGCCCACGAAGATGAATATATTTACTATCTGGCCCTTTATAGGAAAAGGTAGCTGGTCCCCTATGTAGACAATCTCACTGATTCCTTACAACAGCCACGAGGAGGACAGGCTTGGTATTGCTCCACTGTATGAATGAGGAAACTCATCCAGGGTCTTAGGACCAGTGAGGGGCAGCAGTGGGCTATGAGCAGGACGTGTGTGTCCTCTTACCACCGACATTGTATTGTCAGCGAACAGACTCTCAAGTAACTGAGACCATAAAATGACTTTGAACCAAATTAATTTCCACCCGCTGCTATGTTTTATCTGGGAACAGGGCTAGTTTTCTCTTTTATGCGGAAAAAGAATATGGCTTCATTTTTCTTGGCTGTCAGCCAGGCTGGGTAACTTACATGTGATTGTATCACCAATCTTCTAGCAGAAGAGTGACAGGAAGTTAAAAATGATGCCCGCACCTGTTGCCCAAGGTGTGTCACAGGTAATCCCCCAGCATTTATGGAAGGCACACTCTGGCCATGGAACTTGGTCTTGAGCTTGGAACCCAGAGCAGGCTGCCTAGGTTTAACTCCACCTCTGTCATCGACTAGCTGGGTGACCTTGGGAGAGTTATTTACCCTCTCTGAGTCCCCACTTATTTATCCCTCAAAAGGGAATAACGATGGGATCGTCCTGATAGGGTTAAGAGGGAATGAAAGGGACTAGTGGACACGTAGCACTGAGGATTGTGAGGGCAGCAGCTCAACAATGGTGACCATTACCAACGCCTGACCTGACGCCCCACAGGACGTGTGTCACTGCTGCCTCTAGACTTGCTCTTGAATCTGTCTACTCCTGTCTGTCACTGCCCTGTCCCAGGCCTCCGCCATCACCTGACTGCAGCTTTTATCAGTCTCCCAATTGGCCATTCCTGTTTCTCCTCNATACATATATAAATTACATCCTAGGATACTATCAAAAGTGGGGAAGGGAAAGGCAGGCCAAGAGGGCCTCATCTTTTGCACATGGGGTCAGCTTCATGCTTCCTGCCTGGCTCTGAGGGTAGCGACTTCACAATCCCTTACTCCATGGAGTAGCACCTGTGTGGCTTAAATGTCTATCAGGAGTTTGGGAGAAGGCGTTACATGAAACATCCTTCCTCTGTAAAGATGATGTCACTTAACCCTAAGACACTCTCTGCTCCAAAGGCCATGATTACAAACCTGCCTTCAGTTTTGGCCGAACTCTGACATACTTCCTCAGAGCACAGGCACCAGTGCCATGAGCAACTGGCTGGAGAATGGACTGCATGGCGGGGGGTGGGGGTCTGATCCATCAGCAGAAGCCCATACACTGTATTTTTATTGAAAATGCAATAAACTTTGCTCATCTTTGTCTATCTTACAGGTGCAGAATGGAATGTCGATACTATTTAAATTTGCATTTTTAAAAGAGCATTTCTAGCTCTGAGATGGTTTTATAATTGTGGTTTCCCTCCTTCTCACCCATTCAGCCCCATAAATGAAGAGAATGTTTAGTAGCATAAAAATGATAGGTTTTTTGAGTCGAGAGGTCTGTGCTAGAGTCCTGGATGGTTTGTTTCATTCCTTGGTGACCGGGACGGTTTCTCTTTGAACCCCAGCTTGAAAATCTCCTCTCTTATGAAATAAGATGCTGATACCCACCGGCAGGACTCCTGGGAGATTAAAGGAAGGGGAAAGAATGAACATAGGAGGCTCTGAATGAGCTATTTAGAAAACACACATTTCTTTCAGCCTCACAACCACCTCATAGAACAGGCGATGTTGCTTTCTCCATTTGAAAGATGTGAAAACCGAGGTTCAGAAAGCCAGGCCACTCCAACGGGGTCCCGCAACTGGCCAATAATCTGAAGTTAAGGTTTTCCTTTCTTTCTCTTGATGCCGCTCAATAATGGGTATAAAAGGATTTTATGCAATAGATGGTGCAAGACTTCAGTAACAATAACGATGACAACAACAAGTAGTTTCTTGTTTATCTATTTCTTGCCACATATATTTATAGGGCGCTTTCTTTTGCTCAGTCTGCTAGGAATGGTTAATGGTGGACTCGGTGTGCCTGGGTCCAAATCGAAACTCCTTGGGTGGCCCCACGGTCCTATGTGGGGTCTTCTCACCGCTCCAACCTCTGCCTTCTGCAGGCTCCCTTGCTCCCTCTCCCCAAGCTGTGTGCTCAGCCACTCTATTGGAAATAGAAATCCAAAGTATGGAATATCACTGCTTATTCAGTCGGTCCCCTGATGACGGTTCATTCGGTTGATTCTAGTTTTATTACTATCACAGTCTATGATGGAATGGATGTGCCTCCTCATGCAACGTTAGAGTGTTTATCTACATTGGATATGAGAAGTGAAGTTTCTGAGTCAAAGAGTATGTACATTTTCATTTTAAGCAGATACAGACAAAACCACAAGAATGTACTCATTCATTCATTCATTCCACAAACATGTAAAATACTACTCTACCTCAGGTTGCAAACTATGGCCCATGGGCCAGATGTGACCTGTTGCCTGTTTTTGTAAATAAAATTCTGTTGAAACACAGACACGTCTATTCATTTATGTATTATCTGTGGCGCTTTTGAGCTACAACGGTGGAGTTGAGTAGTTGTGATAGAGACTTTATGCCCTNAAACACACATTTCTTTCAGCCTCACAACCACCTCATAGAACAGGCGATGTTGCTTTCTCCATTTGAAAGATGTGAAAACCGAGGTTCAGAAAGCCAGGCCACTCCAACGGGGTCCCGCAACTGGCCAATAATCTGAAGTTAAGGTTTTCCTTTCTTTCTCTTGATGCCGCTCAATAATGGGTGTAAAAGGATTTTATGCAATAGATGGTGCAAGACTTCAGTAACAATAACGATGACAACAACAAGTAGTTTCTTGTTTATCTATTTCTTGCCACATATATTTATAGGGCGCTTTCTTTTGCTCAGTCTGCTAGGAATGGTTAATGGTGGACTCGGTGTGCCTGGGTCCAAATCGAAACTCCTTGGGTGGCCCCACGGTCCTATGTGGGGTCTTCTCACCGCTCCAACCTCTGCCTTCTGCAGGCTCCCTTGCTCCCTCTCCCCAAACTGTGTGCTCAGCCACTCTATTGGAAATAGAAATCCAAACTATGGAATATCACTGCTTATTCAGTCGTTCCCCTGATGACGACGGTTCATTAGGTTGATTCTAGTTTTCTTACTATCACAGTCTATGATGGAATGGACGTGCCTCCTCATGCAACGTTAGAGTGTTTATCTACGTTGGATATGAGAAGTGAAGTTTCTGAGTCAAAGAGTATGTACATTTTCATTTTAAGGAGATACAGACAAAACCACAAGAATGTACTCATTCATTCATTCATTCCACAAACATGTGAAATACTACTCTACCTCAGGTTGCAAACTATGGCCCATGGGCCAGATGGACCTGTTGCCTGTTTTTGTAAATAAAATTCTGTTGAGAAACACAGACACGTCTATTCATTTATGTATTATCTGTGGCGCTTTTGAGCTACAACGGTGGAGTTGAGTAGTTGTGATAGAGACTTTATGCCCTGCAGAGCCAAATATATTTATTATCAGGCTCTTTACAGGATGTCTGCAGAACCCTCTTCTACATAACATAATGATGAATGGGAAAGAGAAACATCAAATCCAGGGCTGTGGGTACCTCTGAAAAGAAAGGGAGACAAAAAAACAACCTGCTATTTTGTTATTTTTTAAGTTGGATGGTCAGTTCATGGCTGTTGGTAGTGTTACTCTTTATGCTTTTACACAGGTCCTTAAATGTTGCGCAATAAATTGAGGAAAAATACTCAACACTCCTCACCTCCTTGCCTCTAGTTTACCCAATTGTGTATTTCCCTGTAACTATTTAAACACAGTTAATAATGCTATTTGTCAAGGAGCAATGAAAAAAGTTTCCTGAGAAGATTCAACAAGGTTGTCCAGACAATAAGCAAACACTGCTTGCTCAGGCACAGGCATGTGTGACAGCAAACGGCTTTTCATCCCACCTGTCATTATTTAGTGACAAGGACATTCTGGGTGTGGGTAGCA